AGTCATGACAGCGATGTGACCGAACGTATCATAGAAGGAAAATCAAACGTGCTAAGCCTTCTGTCAGGAGGTTGTAAAGCTTACTAGATGTGGTGTTTGTGGTTCTTCACCATCCCCATTTTTACATGTGAACTAGTGAAAATATGTAGATAATTTATAGATTTAGATGTTGCTATAATGAGAATCACCTTTATACCAATGCTACGTGGGGTTTGGCAGAATCACACTATCAACTAATGAGCGGAGAAGAACATACTGATGAACAGACGACGTAATGCAGCTGTTTAATGACATGCTTTGAGATCGTAGCGGTCGCATGCATATGTTACGCACACTGAATTCTGTCAATGTGGGTTCCATAAGAAAGGTGTTTTTATTTACAGCATTCTTAACTGCAAACACAACAGAAAGACAGTCTTGTATGAGAATCGGCATATAGTGCTGCTTTGCAGACTGTCTGATGCGATACAACTGTGCTTACTTCCTGCAATACACAGGGAACATTGCCAGTTGTTGACATATCAATGCTGCTACTGACACCTACTGGCCACAATGAATATTGCCCTGCAGGTACTTACAGCCTAAGCAGGTGAATCCCTCTTATTTTAAGTCACACAAATCATCTTTAATGACATTTAACCAGAAAAATAATAGTGGGGGGGGCACCAATGTAATAATATAACTGATAACCAATAATCACAGGCATAGTCTTAGCCACTAAAATGCCCAGGTTGCCACACATACACTCTACTGGCTCCAGTCAGCAGTATGTAAACGTCACCCTCCACTCCCATTGGCTCGAGGTGAATTCTCCGGAGAATATCCTGCTGCGTTCTCACATCAGCCCACTCGGACTTGGTGCAGAAATAATACTAAGGGTCAGGCAGGAGAAACTCCAGGGGAAGTCAGAGTGAAAAATTCAGCTGTTGGCGTTCACACATGCAGCTCCTCCTGGAAATATCAGAAAGTTTTTCAGGAGTTTTCTGCAAGTGTGAAAGCCCTATATGAGACACACTACACTGGATAAAACGATCGATTTTCATCTGTTGGATTGGTCTTATAGCATGTGGTCTTACCTTAAAAAGAATATTGATTATTGTGATTGAATACAATCAATAAATCACAAAGCCTAAAATGAAATAGATTGTTTAAACTCATTTTCTAGTCTTTTTTATCATCTAAAGTACAAACACACAGTTAAATCAGGATAAAGATTCTGTTTTTGTCCCTTTTTAGACGCTTGTGAACTGGAACTGGACACAAACACAGTGTACAAGTTCCTCAAACTGTCTGACAACAACAGAAAGGTGACGCGTGTGTTGGAGGAAGAGCGGTATCCTGATCACCCCGACAGGTTTGAACACTGGCCTCAGCTGCTGTGCGGGGCCGGTGTGACCGCTCAGTGTTACTGGGAAGTCGAGCTGAGCGGACGAGTTCTTGTATCGATGACTTACAGAGGAATCAGAAGGAGAGGATCCAGTAATGAATGTGTGTTCGGATGGAACGATCACTCCTGGAGTATGATCTGCCATGACGGTGGTTACATCGTCAGACACAACAACAAAGAATCAGAGATCCCCTCCACCTCCGTCTCTAACAGAGTAGGAGTGTATGTGGACTATCCTGCAGGCACTCTGTCCTTCTACAGAGTCTCCTCTGACACACTGATCCACCTCCACACCTTCAACACCACATTCACTGAACCTCTTTATCCCGGTGTCGCACCCTGGTCAGTAGGCTCCTCCGCATCCCTGTGTCCTGTATCGTATTGAGGCTATCTCTCCATTAGCTACATGTGTACAGTGAATGACAGACGGAAGTGGATAATTATCTTAACTCCCTGTAATGCAGAATAGGAAATGTAAAAGCTCTCGTTACTTTAAGTGTAATAGCCGACGACTACATGAGATCGGAATCAGAATCGGAGTTTATTGCCAAGTAAATTTACACATACAAGAAATTTGACTTGGTGTATTGGTGCTAAACAATTAACAAGGAAATAAAGCAGAACTAACAACAACTTCAATAATACAGTATAAGAAGCTATTACAATATATAAAATACAATTTAAAAATGTCAAATATAAAAAACAACAATGTAGGAGCTGTGCAGTGGACTATGAGAAAAACAATTTCAGTGTGTGTAACTCCAGTGGGCGTTAATGTAACGCATTCACAGTTTCAGCATTCACATTACTCAAGATCAAGGTTTATTGACGTCCATTCGACAGGCGAGGTTATGCTAACGCTAGCAAAATAGTGTCTTGGGAAGAGAGAATGTCACGTGCAGTAAACACACACGCAGGCTGATGACCGTTCAGGTGTGAGCTTTTCCATCTTGGAGATATCAACATTAGTTTCCCCTGCTTGAGATAAACAACACGCTGTCAGAGAGCCCGCTGCTGAGACTAAAGCTCTGTTACATTATTTATTAGTGACATACCTATGTGTTAATGGCTACAATGTTGAATTAAATCTGTGAGTAATTGCCTCTCACTGCCACAGCAACACTAAGAAACGTTATCATTGGTAGGAGTATTGATGCAAAAAGAAAGTTATGATGGTTCATTTTCCAATGCAGTAACTTGCATATCACTCCGTTTGCAAACAAAGTTCCCTTTAATGTCTGTGTGTTCATGTAGGTTTATTATTTTACACAGGAAGAAAAACGTAAGGAACATAAAGTAAATGTAAAATGTGTGGGTGTGGGAGAAGTTTACATAAAGCTTGTATGAAAACTAAATCCAGACGACTTTAAAAAGGTAACACAAAACTAACTGGATATCGGACATCACATAGAAAGTAGAGCGAGGCGATGCAGTATCGGCTAATTTTATCACAGGTATCTGCTGATATTTCTAGATTTATCCACAAGTTAAATAGCATCTCATTTGAGTATTGTATTACACTAGCCGTACTCTTTCACCAGCAGAGGGCGCTATATGGATGACAACAAGCAGTATCACTCTCCAGAGATATGTGTAGTTACTTTCCAGTTGAGTGACCATCTTGTGTTCATTATAAATCTTTTCCACAAGAGTTTGATAACCGCATTTGAGGGATCCAAAAAAAACGTGTGTTTATCTATATCTATCTATCTCTACAGATTAAACATAGATCTAAGGAGGATATCGCCCGATATATCAATATTGGATTCTTTTCTCTTCCCATCATTGGTATCGACCCCAAAAATTCCATATCAGTCGGGCAGGAAGTGAATATAAACGAGCGAAAAGGGAAAAAAACATTGACAAACATTTTTTTATGGTTACTGTTCCAATTTATATTTTTGTCATCGAAGAGTTTCTACATCTGTTTTTGTACACATTTAAAGACGAAGAGATTAAATTTGCATATGTATTCCATAAGATAACTTTATTATTATGAAACTTTGAATATTGACAAAATCATTTCTCAAACAAACAGGTAGATCAAAATGTTTTACACAACTTTAAGGACAAATGTATATATTTAAAAAGTGTCAAAAACAGTCAACAACTAAACGTGACTGAAGTTGTCTACTGTCCTGGCATCGATAATGCCAAAGATTTACGTTACCTACAAGATATTGAACTAACTCACACTTCTGCCTTATATGTTTACAGTCAGCATTGTGCAATGAATAACTATATATTCATCAAGGCTTATAGTTAAGTTAACTATTAAAACAAAACTGACATGTTTTTGAACATAATGGATGTATTGTATTTTAGTTTATTATTTTGAGACCAGTTAGAGCCTCTATTGCAATGAATGAAGTCATACCAGACTGATGTATCTGTAACCAAAGCAAGACTGAGTGAATTTAATTGCACAAATAAATGTATGTTAACAGATGTGAACCACACCTTGTAATGTTTTGAGCATGTTCATTCGTCTTTACCGCTTTTTTTTTCTTCACAAATTATTCTGTGTTTTGAAGTTTCTCAACAGTATTTGTGTTTTCAAACGTCTGAGTTGTCCGATCCCATTTCATTTCTCGATATGGGTTTTTAACAATAAAGCCATTTAACATCATCTGTGGGTGCTTTTATTGTGAAGAAGTTGATGAAACCACAATATATTTATCATCAAATTAAAGGAGCCTTACTAGAGCTACAATTAGTAGTGATTTGAAATAACACTGTCGGGAGTGAGAGTATTTACAGCCGCTCCTTTGACTTCTTTTAATGATATTGGACTTTAAAAAAGTGGGTGAAGTAGTCAGTGAAGTATGTATCAGTTAACAAAGAACTTCTTTTCAAAAAGCCTGATATCTTCTGATTGGCTATGGTTGGTAACTTTATAGTGCAGACTCGCAGGCTGCACCGCTCAAGTCTGCACGGGCCCCAGCAGAGGGCGCTCATGTTACACAAAGCATCAGTCCCAGTGGATACTCATTGGAATAAATTCTAAACAGTATTTACACTATTGAAATAGTAAAAGAAGGACATACTATGTCATGTGACGGCAGGTGGAATCATTAACTCTGTTACACAGGAATGGGGATTGCATGGATTTTGGAACTTGTGCTTTCAGGAGCTACTGGTCTAAATACTTTCCGCAGTAGCTGCTGGTTTCTCTGCATAGAGGCAATGGTCATCACTGCATGATGTAAGTGGTTCAGTAATGTCCTGTTTCAATAATGAATCTACCGGCTGGATACAGGAAGAGAATCTAAGCGTGTACAGGGTAGAAATAACAAAACAAAGATAACAAAATGATGTCTTTCCAAATTTCAATTATATGAGAGCAACAATATCTAAATCATAGGCACAAGTATCAAATCAAAGAATGCAAATCTCTAGTTAAAAAGGCACCTAAAAACCTCTAGCTTGCTTAAAATCAATGAGATGGGGCGATTGTAAACTGGGATCAATAAGCCCCTCAAGACAGTGGAACAATAATGACCTTGTTTACCAGAAACAGTGAAGATGGCGTTGGCAAGAAGGGGTTTAAGTTTTACACTGTTTCATTTCGAAGGATTTTAAGCATTGGAAAAATAGAAACACAAGATAAGAGTATTTGTAAAAAGAATATTTTATTGACTATTTTATTTCAGTTTGTGCATTAGAACTTTACAAAGACAATGAAAGGCATTTTGACCACGTATTAAAAAAACACTTGCTGCTCCCAACAGAGAGTACGTTTGAGGTTGCTGGTTAGTAGTCCATGCATAGAAATATTTATTGATGTATATATTTACATACAAGACCATGTTTCATTGCCTATGGCTGCATACTATTTTTCAGGTTGATGCAGTAAGTAAATACTTAAAAAATAGAATACTTTAGCCATGGTCTGAATGCTCCCCATGAGGTCATGAGGTAAACTGTAGTTACGATGTAGGTTCAGGGAAGTAGATAAGACATATATATTTCAAAGTTGCTCAACACACTCAATCATGTAAAACCATATTCATTAAAGATAAACTTTAACTTTATGAATTGTAATTTCTATTGTATTGTGAAAAAACTTAAAAGAAAAGACAATGAATATCAAAGTTTAAAGCAAGTTAAAACTTCCAAAGGGCATTCCTTCTAAAATCATTTGATCTTTCATTCAGGCACATATCTTTGATAGTGTCAACACAAAGTCATGAGACTTTATCATTAAATGTCAGACTTCAGGGTCCTATAGAAGCAGTGCAGAAAGACTAAATGTTGTGAACTGAGGTTATAGCAGCTGTCCCTTGGCCTTATTCTGCCGCTACATCTTGGGGTCCTCACACAGTTTACAGTCAGGCTTCTGGTCCGACTGTCGCTCCATTTGTATTGTAACACTGTGGAAGTTGTAGGAGGAAAAGCAAGCCTGTGTTATTTCTCTTTGGACAGTCTGAGCATCCGCTGACTCGTCTGTGGAGCAGAGAGGAAGACATAGAAAAAGGAAATAAAAATGTTAGTCACCTTGTGTGTTCATATTAAATATATCATTAAATATTTGTCTGTCTCAATAACCGCTTTAGAATACAACGTTTTTTGTTTTTGTTTTTTTTTAAGATTTATTTTTGGGCTTTTTTGTGCCTTTAATGGAGAGATAGGACAGTGGATAGAGTCGGAAATCAGGGAGAGAGTGGGGAACGACATGCGAGAAAAAAGCCACAGATGGGACGCAAACCCGGGCCGCCTGCCTGAGACGACAGCCTCCATACAAGGGGCGCGTGCACGAACCACTGCGCCACCAGCACCCCTAGAATACAATGTTTTTAAAGACTAGAAAGGGGGGGTGCTGTTTGCGCAGTGGTTGGAGGCCATGGTCCTCCAAGCGGGCGGCCCAGGTTCGAATCCCACATGTGGCTCTTTTCCTGCATGTCATTCCTTACTCTCTCTCTACCTGATTTCCAACTCTATCCACCCTCCATTAAAGGCACAAAAAGCCCCAAAATAAATCTTAAAATAAAAAAAATAATAATTCATAGTCTGTAAAGAAAAAGTCTTTACACTCAATACACCAGTAAAGTTGTTGAATGAATGCAAAAGAGGTAACCTTTCGGACCAAACCTTTACAATGTATAAAAGCAGGAAATAGTCAAAATTTTATATCATTTACAAAAGGTGTTCCACAAGGGTCAGTTCTGGGCCTTGTCTTGTCTTACATCAATGATATTGTTTCCCATATAACTGACTGTTTTTTTTGCTTCTTTATACCAGAATAACAGCTGTAACCCCCTTTACTGATAGCAGGTGACCCCTCACCTCACTGTACTTCACACCAGCTGGAGTACCTGAGTGACAGAAAAAAAAAGTGTAAATGAAAGACTTAATATCAAGGTATCAAAAAGAGAAGGAGAAGGAGAGGGAGAGCCGTACCTTCCATCAGGACGACGACAATATCCCTCATGATGGTGAAGGTTGTGCACAAGACAAAGATTGAGAACAGGAATGTGCAGATGGGGTCAGCAATCTTATATTCTGGCTGAAAGAAACAAGAACACATACCTTTAAGCATCTGTATAGAGCTATAATTTTAGCCTTTGCAGAAATCATGTTATTTATTGCTTCCTAAAGGAAAGGAACTTAATTGCGTAATAATTGGGAATACAGTACAGTGACATTCAATTAAAGGGATACTATTATATATATTTGCTATATTTGCATTAATCTTTGTATCATTAGAAACCTAGTAGTATTTTTGAATGGTCGTGCATCCCGCCCTCATTTTTCCCTGAGACTGGAAAGTTCTGTTTTTCTAAGTCTGAAAAGGAGCTTCCAGTGACGCAAATATCGTCATATTGCGTCACTGGAAGCTGTTGCGGTTAGCGGTGTGAAACTCCAACGCTAGTTGCCAATTGTTCAGCCTGTGCTTAACAGGGCAGTTGTGATGTCATAATATGTCAGTCAGGGTTCAGTCAGTAAAGCTTTCTTACACAATACAGCATTTTCTATGTGATTTTGGCAATTAGAGAAAATGTGTAGACCAAATATTTTACCATCATTCATTCATCTACCTCTTGGCCTCACATAGCCTAATGATGTTGGGAAAAGTAGTGATATTAGTAGTTTTAACAGATAAAACGTCTTTCAAACTAAAGGTTGTTTTGATTTCTTAATGTAATCACGTCTGTTCTGCATTTCTCATTAGGGATCATCTTTAATCATGATTAATCCAAATTTTAATCGCATGTTTGATATTCCATTATTTTGCATTTAAAAAGCGTTTTTGTGAGGCTTTTATTTTGAATGTCATGTCTTAAGCTGAGTAATTCACTTACTGTTTGCTTTTATTTTGAATTAAAGTGATAGATGGAAAGTTAGAACATAGTAAAACACGTAGTATTGTCATAACAATGTCATTATAAATTATAAAACCGATATACATTGGACTTCTTATGACACTATATCACACATTTCATATTCACACATGTAGAATGACAAAATGCATCTAAATCTTCCATGGAATTTCAAATAAAATACAAAAAAACTGTAAACAACTGTTTTTATTTTAACAGAACAATAAAGATTGTTGGAATAATCTGTGACCAGCTCAGATTTTATTTAGACTATTTATTTTCCTCCTGTAAACATTGATATTACTTGTTTGAATCTTTATTTTATTTATGTTTCTGACGTCATACTATTTTGTCTCAATTACACTGTTGGAGTATGAGGGACAAAAAATGACTAAAGCATAAATCAATAAATGTTGGGAGAAATGCATACAATAATGTATAAATAAATAAATAATTAAATAAATGCATCAATAAATATATAAAAAAAAATATATAAATGCTGAAAACAATACATCAATGAATAAATAATAAATACACTTTATTAATGAAAAAGGCTATTTATATATTTGTACATGTATTTATTCATTTATTAGTGTATTCCAACAGTTATATATGTATCAATGAATACATTTCCACATTAATTGAGTTATTAATTAATTTCCGTATTTTTACATTTACACATCTATTTATTTCTGTGTCCAGGTCGTAAGAGGAAAAGTATTTGTGTAAATTTGCTTCTGTCTGTTTTTAAAAATTGAACAATCCTACTTCAGTAATCTTAGGACGGCCCACTTAACTTACATATTTACTTTTCCTTGCACAACATGGACACAGAAACTACAAGAATTTTAGGTTTCACCTTCACTGTGACGCAGACTCGTTTATCGCTGGTGAAGTGTCTGATGTAACTAGGACAGAGATAATATAAGTTTACAACGGGTGCGTCTTGTGATAGTATCTGAAGGAGATTTAGGAGTCCCCTCAGGTGGAATGTTTAAATTGAGGTATTGTATAGGAGTAGTGCCACATGTGGTTGTGTAACGTGATGTTTTATGACCCATGACGAAAAGCGGATGTTTGGATGCATATAAGCAATTGTCTCTGTGTGTTCGAGAGAGATCATTATTGGCTTCTTGATCCTCCTGGTCAGACGTGACCAGTGATTCTGTTTCTTGCTTAAATAAAATTATACTCTTTGAAAGCAAGTCAGTCTCAACGGCGAATTCCTTCATCATCAAACATATCAACAACAAGGAAATCCACATCACTGGTAAGTGACACTTTTTAACTTCTTTACAAACTCCCTCCTAGTATTACTTCGATGTAAAAAATAACTGTAAAGGAACAACCTGTTTCTAGGTTCATTGGCTTCTTTTTTAAACCACGATAACAGGACTGTTTTGAGCTTCTATTCTTCTATTTCAAAAACGAAAGTAACGCCAGACCTCGCGTTGTTTTGAGCTGCTTGTTTTTAAACCACAGACGACATTACAGTTTGTACAGTCATGGAGGCTGCCTGGTCTTTACGCAGCAGTGTTTGTCAGAGGAGGGAACTGATGGAAGAATCCAAACAGTGAAATGTTGGAGCTGCAGCTCTGACACATGGCACATAGGTTTAAACAGCTTGACCGTTATCTTTTTTTTGTCGTGCGTCGAAAACAAATCACGTTTGGGAGTATCAGGGCACTTGGACTACGTCAGAGGACGAGAACGGAAAGAGACGAGAGTTCAGGCAAATAATAGTGAGTAGTATTTTTTTTCTATCATTTTGTTTTATCAGTGTGTCTAGTTAAGGCTGAAAAACAAAGCTTGTGTCAAGCTGTGGGCATTTTTCTTTAATAAAAGTTGCAAACACGTGAAGATGGACGAGTTCTGACCGATTCATTTCAAGGGTTCAACATATACAATTATATTTAAAAGCTATTTTGTGAGTTTGCTGAATTTACCCTAACCTGCAAAAACTGACTTAGATTAGGAAAAACGTGCAGCAAATTCAGAAACTGTATTAATTCCAAAGCAACAGTTTACTGTAAATGTGCTGCAAATGAAAGATACATATGTATACATATGGACAGAGCAGCAGATGTGAATGATAAAAAACAAAAAAACCGTTTAATGCTTACTGACAGGACTGGGCTAGTTAAGAACTTTTTAATATATGTGGATATATTTATTCATGAGATTAAGGGTAAAGCAATCGTGATTCCCAAACTGGGGCCCGATACAGGGATAGATACTTTATGAATCCTTTGCAGGAAATTACACCGTCACAGCAGCTGCAATCACAGTCAAGACATTATATAAATAACATTTAGGCACATCAGGCAGGATTTCTCAAATGGACTTCAGTTTTAAAAGTCTTCTTGTCTCTGTTACAGACAAGGCCCAGCAAGGTTAAAAATAAACAATGAGTGCGTTTACGTGGACTGGAGTATCCCGAGCTTAGAAATATTTTCATCTGCTTAAAGGGGGTCCCACACAGAAGTAGTTTGGGAACCGCTGGTTAATA